GTCTGACGTTGGTTCAACGTTAATTCGATGAGCAAAACAATGTCAGATCAACGTTGTTTCGATGTCATATTTCCACGTTGATTCAATGTCAGTTTGCTATCTGGGATGAGAGACGTTAGCTGTGTCTGAAATCGCTCCCTATCCACTATAGTGCACTATATCGGGTGTCGGCCATTTTGTAGTGGTGTCCGAATTCTGAGTGAACAACATCATTCCCTACATTCATTCACTACTTTTACCCACAATCCTCTCTGAATTCGAGTGTACATTCGATGTACACTTGCTGAAGCCCTATTTCCCACAATCCAATGCGGAGAGAAGTGAGCGTGCATGAAAGTGCGGCGCGAGCAAGTTTAAACCAGAGATTACATTACATCCAGTGGAGGATTTGAAAAATATCCGTTAATCGTCGTTAGGAAGCGTATTCATTTGAATATAATAATAACGGTCGCCGGAGGGCGCTCGACGACACTCATCTGTGAATGTGAGAGTTACAATTTCAGTGGATGAAACTACAAAGCTGGCACGGAGGTATATATATAATTACAAAATAAAGTAATTATGATGTTATTGTTGTTAATATTATTTTAAAAAGTAGGTAATATAAGATAAAAGGAGTTTTACCAGTACGCGTGACGAATCTTTTCTGCGCCAGCTCCAACTCTCCAACGCACAGTGTAAACGTCAGCGTCCGAATTCACTCACTTCATCTCGTTCAAGCCTTGCAGATATAGTGCACTCAAATGCCATACACAGGGATTAGTGAATGAGTGAACGAGTGAGCGGTTTCAGACACAGCTGTTGTTTCCACGTTGATTCAATGTCAGTTTGCTATCTGGGTGTGTTTTTACACATGTAATTAAATACATATTTTAAGTCGAATTCATGATGAAGACAGCGGGAAAAGAGCTCAAAATACGTGAGAAACCCGGAAAACTACACTTTTGAAACACATAGTTAAAAGTACATGTGTGAATGGTTGTTATAACAGTTAACTTGCTAAACTAGCGAAGGTGGAACGCAGCTTACCTTTGTCCGGATTAACGTGTTCCCACTGTTTGCCGGTGTAGCAGTCGATTCTGTTCCCTGACAGCGCATGCGTAGCAGTTGCAACGAAGCTCAGCTGGATGTACGGAAAGCGAAAAAGGTCAAAAGCATTGGCGCAACATTTAAATGTCTTACTACTGCACTGCAGCATAATAAAATGGCTCTCGCACTCCAATGATATTTCTGTGAATTAATTTAATTAATTTTGCACTTGTTCCTAGTTTTTGTGTTATGTCTGAATATATTCAGTTGAATTGTGCCCATACAAATTTGCCTTATGTGTCCATGTTGATGTCCAAACTCAATGACTCATATTATTGTCATATTATTATTTATAAAGATTGCAAACGTCAGAGATGACAGGTTTATTATATACAACTTTGTAAACAATATACAAATATATTAACAATAAGTACAATGTCACCAAAATACACATGAGAAAAAGAGTTCCTCACATTATTGTCACAAGAGAAACACATTTTCAGATGACACCTTTTGTTCCCTGTATGAAAATAAAAATAATTAGGCTAAATAAATATGAATAAAACCATATGTTGCTATTACTACCTTAATTATTGTTTTTCACATGCAAAATACTATGGGTGTAACGTACCATTCTAATCATAATTAATTCAATTTCAGAGGGCACTAATTAAATTAATAAATTAACCATGTTAATAAATGGTGTTCTAAATTGGGGAGATGACCACACAACATTGTCTCCTGATTTTTTTTTATTCTTGCTGGCACATTCCAACAATGGATCCAAAAATGTATGATGTAAACATGAACTTCAAAACTCAAGGCACATACCCATTTGACATAAAAAAATAAAAGAAAAATCAAAAATAACCTATCCTGCAATTTCAGTTTAAATTAGCCTTATCTGTCATTGGGCCTTTGTAAAGGGGCCATCTAAATTGTTGTTTAGATTTATTTTACGAAAGCTAATAAAGCTATTTCAATGGATGGCCAACTTTACATCTCCTCAAAAAATGGAATATAAATGTGTTTCTTGCAATAAATAACAAAATCAGTCTTTCAAAACAAGCATTAATTATTTTGTAAAATGAGACATTAAAATCACTGTGAAATGATTGTGGTTCAAGTAGTCCTGCGCTAGAGGCTTATCTGTATATTACGGTCTATAAAACATCACATTGAAATTAGTAATAGCTACGTTTTAAATGTGAAAAGAAATAATCTGGATTGAATTGACAGATAGGAAAACTCAATGGGCTATATGCACGCATAAGTTCCGCATTTGACGTAAGGATGCTCGTCCATTTCCGGTTGTGTAGATTAAAGCGGAGGAAAACCGGAAGAAACGGGATTATGGCAGAGTCTTCAATATTTACTGTCCTCCCGTCTTTGATACGAAACGTACATACGTTTAGATGTAATTTTATATATAGTTATGTTTATTTAATATAATTTTAAAAAGAACCATAAAGACAACGAGGGGTGTCTGTTTTATCTGTTTTTGTGACTAACGTTTCTTTATTATAACCATGGAGTATAAAATTCAATATAAATTCTCGGTATTGCATTGGACTCTATGATCGGCGGAAGTTATCGAGCATCCTTAATCCTTCACCGGAAATAACGCTGTGCATAGAGCCCATTAGGGCTACAAGTTTCAGGGAAAAAAATGCAATACTTTTTTAACCTTTTGACTTCCCGTACATCCAGTTGTGCTTCTTGCTCGTATTCAGTTCTGGTGGTACGTATGGTAACTCGGCAACTACGCATGACTTGTAGTATGATTGCGTAAAGGGAACAGGAATTCCGGTAGGGAACAGAATCGACTGCTACACCGGCTTTATGATCTGCACAGCTCCTGAACCCATCCATTAGTGAACTGCACATGCGACTCTAATCCCTTGTAGCTTCGGAACTGTTCTGAGGTGTAGGCGCTCATACCACAAACAAGGTAGCTGAAGATATCGTTTATACAAAACTGCGGCAGCAAGTCGTAGTCGGTGCTCCAATCTTTGTTTGAAATTTCATACGAATCCAAACCGTTGATAGTGCCTATTTTGTCCACATACCGGTCCCTGACTTCCCTAGTTAACGTTTCCCGGTATATTCCACATCCTTTTAAGGTTTTTAACATATTTATTTCTTTTCTTTCTCTCAACTCCGCTTCTCCTTGTTCAATTTGCGTTTGTTTACATTCGCAAGCTGCCAACATGGCCGCCACGCCAGTAATGACGTCACGACGCCCAAGCCCGTTTTTGTGGTCGCATCACTATCCAGGAGTAATTAGCTGGTGAAGTGGATTTACTTATTGTAGAGTTAAAAAAAGTTATCATGAGCATTGTAATGTTTACCATAAGCATTGTAAAGCAGATGTCTTAACAAATGTCGACCGGGATTTTTTTTACGAGCAGTTCATTCATATGCAAGATCGCTGTGAGGCGCAGCGCTGAAAGGGGGCGGGTAATTTATTTCTGTGATGGCAAAGATGAATTTTCAACACCATTACTCCAGTATATTATCACATGATCCTTTAGAAATCATTCAAGTAAAAAAAAAAAACATCTTCTAAAATTGGCTTGCTACTGTATATTAAGCATGTTTGAAATCATCTGACTGTTTGGAATTGTCTGTGCCCATAATTTTTCTGTAAACTCTACTGACCAATTTAGTTAAGGAAGTGTGAGGAGGTGTGAGGTGTATTAGTGACTGACCGAGATTCATCTGAATGTTAATAAACATGCCATCAGAACACTCTTGGCATGCAGATGTCCAACTAAAGTCAGGGTGTGAGTGTGCTAGTGACAGTGAATTTGGTAAGATCTCAAATGAATGCAAGAGCTAGATGTTTCCATCAACAATACATGGACATGAACAATATATGAGACTGAACACTAATGGACCCATAAGCACATGATCTTCCCACACTGAAAGCCTTCACCACTGCCTCTACAGCTCAACCCAGATGGTGTGGGAGTGTGAGGGGCCACTGAGGGCCAGAAAAGTGCTCTGCATTTGTTTACCACACTCTTCCTGCTGTTGTCGGGGAAAAAAGGAGAGGCACTCATAACAGACCGTCCGGGCAGTCGAGTGAGTCATGTAGTTCAGTTATACTGGATGAATTACAAGTCTAATGAGACAGTAAGAACATTGAGAAGAACATAGAACCAGGAAAAGCTCCTCTGCTTTCTTATGATGCTCAACGGTTCTGACAGAAAACAAGTGTATACTATGTTGACAGTCTGAATAGTGACTCACACAAAGTAAGATGCCAAGACTAATGCTTGTGTACAGCCCTATGAAATCCATTTCCCCCAAATCCTTTAAAAAAAAAAAAAAAAAAAAAAATATATATATATATATATATATATATATATTCTGTTGGTTTAGTTAAACATTAATAATCAGGATAGGGGTTTACGGTAGGGGTAGTACCTGGAAAGGATCATCACACTCCATGTGTGGCTTATCCTCTATTGGTCCCCACCTGAAAGAACCTTAAAGTGATAGAAAGGGAGGAAAGTGACAGATAGATCAGGTGAACAGGCCATCATTCTATAAATACTCTACTTTGACACATGGAGGGTGACTTCACCCTGGCGTTTTCTCTCCCCCACCATTTTTCCTTAAAATCAGTCTTTAGAAATCCCACTCGTGCGCACACCTATCTCCTCAGTAACACACAGCTGTTCTGACTTATATCTCCATCTCTATTACTCCTTTAATCTCTCGCTCTGTCGATCAGAACCTCACTTCTGTTTTCACAAAGTCTGATTATTGTGCTCTCTTAGTTCGGCCTTGTGTCATGTGAAGTCCCTTCTCCAGTTATTATTTCATCCTTTGTTCATTATTCCCTCCTTATTGTTCTCTTCTGTGTTAGCCACACTGCTCATTCTGCTTTGTCTCTCCAGCCTTCACATGTTCAACTCTCACATCTCCTCATCATATTCTCCCCCTCTCTCTCCGTCTGACAGGTACCCTGTGTGGACAGCTTTTTGAGGCTTTAGTTCTGTAACTAGCCTCGGGGGAAGCGGTGACCAGCCGCTGTCAGAGTATCCAGGATTAGGCCGTCTTCTTGAGGCTTGCGGATGACAGCGGTACCCATCTCTTCACCACTGGCATCGCCGGAGGAACATCATCAAGGTGAACGCCAGATAAAACCAAATTATTGATCAAAGCTTCTGTATCTTGTTACGGATTCATTATGGTTACTTTGATATAAACATCATTTTAATGCATGTTCTATACCAGTGGTTTTCTGGTGGTCACTGAAGACCTGCAAATGGTCTATAAATTGCTATTTTTTTAAATAAAACAAAAATTTAAATAAAAAATAAATTAAATGTATCTGCTAATCTATTATCTGCCAAGTATTTTCTGTTGTACAGTGGAATCAAAATGAAAAATTTTTTATGGAATATTGCAGTATTTATAATAAATTGTCAACACACTTTTATTTTATTTTTTATTCATGTTCCCTCGTAATCTTTAATCAAAATAGCTTCCCCCTCCCTTTTTCACCGACATCTATTTTCTTCAATGCCCAATGGACAAAATCAAGTTCCATCCTAAATTTTTTCTTGTTCGAGAAGCCGTTACACTAAAATATACTTAAAAATAGACCTGCGCCATGTATGAAAGCGAGGCTGTGAGGGATAGACTTACCATGTTTCCAATGGTATCCACTGTAAAAAGCTGTATAAAGCTCCTAGATCACTTAGATCACTAATTTTCAATTACCTCATGTTGTCTGGGTTTTTGTTACCGAAATTTCTTGCAAAGACATTTTTGCTGTATTTTTTGAGCAGAACAATCCAAAAACACATTAAATAACAATACAGCCCACTGAAGAGATGTACGGATATCCCTCATAGCCTCGCTCTCATTCACGCTAAAAATCAAAGATGTCGCTGCTACGAATAAGGTCTATAGGAAAGAAAAGACTATCGCAACTTTATGCCATGCCATTCGTGAGAGTACCTCATTTATGTACATCATTTCTCAAATGTGCCTGATTCAGAGAACGAATATAGACCTACAGTGTGTACGAAAAGGCTCTCTTCCAGATGTGAAATTTAAATAGTAAATTATCTTGAAATTGTGCACAGCTGTATCGTTTTAGAATTAACTCAGTTTACTCTGCCTTGTAAATGCTGCCTTATTAATGTAATTTAATTTAATCACCATATTAAAGAGCATCAGTCAACGTCCAAGTCCTTTACCTGAGAATGGTGTACGGCAAGAATTGCTTAGATTTCCAAATACCTGCAGTACTCAGACTCTTCGGTCGCAGAGCTTATTTTCTGCAATAATTTAAAAGCCAATGGGAAAATCCTATTGTTTTTTGTCAAGGGAACTAGTGTAATAACTTCTTATTGGCCTACAAAAGTACATCAATTCTGCAGCACACTCATCCGCCGCAAAAGATTTGTTCATTTTGTTCAAACTTAGACTACAGAGCTATGAGTACTTATTTATAAAACGTATAATGTATATATATCCATGCCACAGTTCATATTTATAAAAACAGTCTTTGACATGAAAAAAGTGTTTAGCGCCACATCAGGGTCCAAGCAGACCGTAGACAAGTCATTTTAGTGAATAAAAGTACAAATTGTGCTAATTAAGTGCACATTAGCCTTCAGTAGATAAATACACCAACCAACCAATACACATACTATAATACACTCTAAAAATGCTGGGTTGTTTTAACCAATTTTGGGTCAAATACGGACAAACATTAAAAAATGTAATTAAAAAATGTAACCCAATGGCAGGATTTGGGGTGAAACAAGCCAGCATTTTTTAGAGTGAAGCCATTTCGAAATGACATCATTGCCAATTAAGCTTAAACTAGCACCTCTTTTAATGAACATTCTTAACTTGGTATTGAAAGCTTCTCGCATTCCCACATCAAAACACATCGACAAACCATCAGTATTCACAGTGAAGCATCAGGGCTAATGAAGTTGCACTAAAACCCGCTCCACTGCCTTGGGCAGCACCTCAATGGCGATCAGAGGTCTCGGCAAAGCACACGCTAAAATATTTATGACCAGCTATTACACGCAGCCTCTTTCATTATTGATGGCTGCGGTTGATGGCACCCTTTGAGCCACGCGGACTGCACCGGGCCTCTATCTATTTGGCCAGCTAATTAGCGACAGGCCTCACCACACTAGCTAATATTGACTAGATGCATAACCATCAATGACAGATGGATGGCGGTTGAAAAACTAAATCGACCAGCAGCTCTTTTCTCACAGGTCGTTTAGCGAACCGTTAGCTGCTGCAGCCCTGCAGGTAAGAAACAGAGCCAAACCACATATCCCAATGTTCTCCAGCCACCCATGTAAAGTCCCTGCTGAAAAACACAGCATAGCTAACCAGCATATGTTGTGTTGAGGTTGCTAATTTTTTTTTTTTTTTTTTTTTTACATGGGCTGCTATGCTGCTGGGGTCCCCACCGGGCTTCTTAAAGGGACAGTTCACCTAATTCCATCATCATGTGGATTACAGGTATGTTGTAAATAATGTTTAGTTTCTTAGTTAATTGATTTCATCACAGGTATTAATTTTGTTTTGCCAGTATATGTTTTTTTATCTCTAAAGTGCCAGCACCCATTGACTTCCATTATATGTGACCCTGGACCACAAAACCAGTCATACGTCGCACGGGTATATTTGTGGGAATAACCAACAATACATTGTATGGGTCAAAATTATCGATTTTTCTTTTATATCAAAAATCATTAGGATATAAGCCTAAATAAAGATGGTCCATGAAGATATTAAGAACATTTGCTATGTAAATATATCATGACCACTGTTTCAGATAAAAATCATATTTACTGTTAGCCTACTGAAGAAAAAAAGTCACCTACATATTGGATGGCCTGAGGGTGAGTGAATTAACAGCACATTTTTATTTTTGAGTGAACTATCCCTTTAAGCCGCGGTCACTGCAACGGTCATGATATGACATCAAGCTCTGCTGCATTTTTTATTAAACATGAATTCAGCATATAACAAATAGTAATACATTCAAAATGTAAAAATCTAGAATTTACTTAACTTCACTGCAAAAAATGTCATTATTTTAATTCAGCCAAGATGTTACATCGTGACGTAGGCCTATAAAACTTGACGTTCACCAGGTCAGAGTTCACCAAACTTGAACTTTGGACACTGTGAAATTCAAAAATTTTCGCATGAGATTGCCAATGCAGTTTTGTGCATTTCGCATGCGTATGGAAGTCAATGGAACGAATTGTTATTATTAACTATGAAGCTATTAAAAATTGTGTTCGGTAACTGAAATAAAGCTGAAAATAGAATAAATCGTAAATAATAGGTGAAAAAAATGCTTATTTTAGTTAGTTGCCATGATACGTTTTTTTTTTGTACGTTTTGATTACTAGAAATTTGATTACGTTTAAATTTCTAAAACTGAATACGAAATTTCTGAATACTAAAATGATGAATACTGAAATTTATTAAAGCTATATAGAAATAAAAAAACATGACAAAAGCACATAACAAAAATTGTTCAACTTAAACTAAAATTATAACTGAAAAGCTTTAAATCTAAAAATGTATTTGCAAAACATAATTAATATATTTTCATTCCAGTGAATGTTCAACCACAATATGCCACTAAATCACTCCAGTCAGATGTTACGATAACATTCAGCTGATGTCTTATGGCACAGGGATCACACCTCAGTGGTCAACAGTGCACTCATTTGGCGTTTAAAAACTGTAAATCAAGGTTACTGTGAATAAACTAACACAACACGTCGCCTTAGGCTGTTTTTCGTTGTTTTCTTGCCCGAACTATACATCTGTATTGATTAAAAACAGGCACATCTACCTCAATCCCACTGGGGGCATTTTACACAGCCATCCAATCAGAAACCAGCGGCCCATTACCATTGTAATGTCATTTGTCTGAGAGAAATGTCCAGCTAGGGATAATGGCCACGTAGAAAGACAAACTGCAGCGCCAGGCTGTTTAAGCTCCATTGGTTACCTTGTTACGCAGCGAGTCTGAGTGTGAGTGTTCATTGATGGCAGGGTTTAAATTGCATCCCTACATTAACCCCAACTAAGTGGGATGAATGTGAGGCTATTTTTCCCCTCGGGGCTGACGGAAGTCATTCTGTTTCAGATGACGCCAGGGAGTTGAGTAGAACCACCATTTTTAACCAGTAAATTTTATTTATATATAACAACAGTACAAAGTGAATCCTTGGCTTGCAAAATAGGTGTGCTTCATATTTACAATAGGTACACAGTAATATAATATAACAAAACAAAAGCAATTAAAAAAACAAGACCGTTTTTTTTCTTTTTAAATACTTTAACTCTCTTACAATTTTCACAACACTTAAAAACAACAAGAACAGACAACCATAAGTGTTATTATTATCATCATCATCATCGAGGTCATTATTATTTCTATGTACTATGTTACAGAACTCCAGTGTCTACAAAGAGAGATGCTTTTATAATTTTGCGTGACTGAAAATGGAAGGATATTCACCTCTAAGGTGATCAAAACTGACTACAAAAGCCTTTTCGCACTCGTTTTTGTTTATGATCGGTAATATGAAGAGAATATGAACATTTCACTTGTTTGTAGCATGCTATTCCATCACAGAGCAAAACATGAGCTAAAAACAATAAAAGTGCACAAAATTGATTCCAAGACTGTCCTTTCGTGCCAAATATAAAATGAACAGCAGTTGTGACCGCCACAGATGACTGCTGATATTTCAGAAAGCTGCCCAGTGCTGTCAAATTTTATTCTGCTCTGCAGAATAGCGCAATAAAAATTATAATTAACTTTTTTTTTTCAAGGGATCAAATGTCTTCTAATAAACATTAATAAGCGTTGAGCTACTGAAATCTCTCTCAACAAAGTGCAATTTCCTGTGCCGCATCATTTCGAACAAAACGTTATGACCAGAATACATTTTGTTCTCTGATTTTTTTGCACAACCAGGAGAGTCGTCCCTCCTCAACTAATGTGGCAGCAAAAACAAAAAAAAACTGAGCCGGATCCACAAGGGCAGTGTGGCCAACCGAGGTTCTCTTGCCCTTATAGAGCTGGGATGGGCTCTGATGAACAGAAAACAGGGAAGACCGTGGATAACCAAAGGTAGGAAGCTTCGTCACTGACATGGCTTGCAAA